CGCATATCCCCAGCGAGCGCGGGATCCCGTCCGTCCGGGTCCACCCGGCCGGATGCTCGGAGTCGAGGGACTGGGGAGATTTATGACAGGCCGAAATATGCCGGGCGGCCTTCCGCTCTTCTTTCCTGTGGCTTTAGCGCCCCCTTAGAGCTTCGAACAACCCGATCGGCCTCGCATCCCCAGCGAGCGCGGGATCCCGTCCGTCCGGGTCCACCCGGCCGGATGCTCGGAGTCGAGGGACTGGGGAGATTTATGACAGGCCGAAATATGCCGGGCGGCCTTCCGCTCTTCTTTCCTGTGGCTTTCCAGCGCCCTCTGCCCCTCTCCAGGTTATCCATCTCGATATCCAGATGTCCCGAGTCGGGACCCGCTGAAATCCCAAAGATCGATCACTTTTTCTGCATAGTTTGGGACTGCGGTCCAAATCGAACGAGCACTGTGGTGGGTACAGAAGGGATTTGGATTCCACTCATTTCAAGGGAAAACTCTCAGCCTGGTGACCTCTAAAGCCATTCAGAAATCTGCCTTGGTAGCCAATAAATATGAAAAATGCCCAACCAGCTTCATAGGTAAGAAGTGACATGGAGATATTCCGCCTGGCTGGTGGCCTAGCTCAGTGGTACAGCGTGTGTTTAGCATTCGTGAAGCTCTAGGTTCTAATCCAGCATAGATAAACAGATTATATCTCATATTTCAACTGGTTCAAAAAAGCTTTTGAGGAAAAAGGATACCAACTTGTGTCATCCACAATGAGGAACTATTGGTATCACCATAAACTTTAAAAGCAATCTGGAAGACAGAACGAGAATATCCAAGAGTATCTTGTGTTTTTTGTTTGTTTGTTCGAGGGAGGTTACCAGGGATCAAACTCAGATCCTTGTGCTTTTGAGGCAGACAGTGAAACCACTGAGCTAACTCCGGGGCCCATCCAAGAGTGTTTTAAACACAACTAGCAGATGACGAACAAAGCCACAGCACAGGTCCAAGGAAGTTCAGAGCAACAGGGAGATTTGTCAAATGCCTTCTGACACTGGTGGTGTGCAAAGCAAGCAGCTCAGCAGGAGGTGCGCCGCCTACCCTCAGGGATTTTGAAAAAAACACCTTAAATGAAAGATGATACATGGTTTTTTTTTTTTTTTTTTTTTTTTTTTTTTTTAATTTGGTTCCAGGAATCGAACTCACTCTTGCCAGGCAGGCGTAGCGCCCCTAAACTACATCCCCGACCCTCACTGTTTCACTTTCACATTTTAAAATGACATATTTGTGTCTGCACAGGAAAAAACCTGAGCTATACACCAAATTATTAACCAATTTGTGCTTCCTTGAAAGGATAATTTAGAGGAGAGGAGCAGTTTTGCTGTCTTTTTTTTTTTTTTTTTTTTTTTTTTTTTGCTTATTGACGGTAAATAAGAAATGCTATATTTTTTATACAGTTCATGAAATGTTTTTATCCCCTAGCACCAGGGATCAAACTCAGGACCTCGAGCTTGCTTGCTGGCGAGGCAGGCGTGGCACCACTGAATTGAATCCCTGGCCCTGAAATATTTTTTTCAGAAACAGATGTATTGTGGCTGAGTTTGGTGACACACATCTGTAACTCCAGCTACTGTGGAGGCTGAGGCAGAAAGGTCACAAATTCCAGGGCTGCCTGGGGCAAAACCTTGTCTCAAAAAAATAAAATGGGGTGGGGCTGCAGCTCAGTACAGTGGTAGAGTATCCCTGAGTTCATTCTCCATGCCACTCCATCCACACATAAAACAAGTGTGTATGGGTGGTAGCTGAAATAATAAAAAATAAAAGTGTCCCCTCAGTCCTTCCCAGTTTAACTACTTTCAATTGGGTCCTTGCAGTTAAGCACTGCTATTGGTTTGATGTGCATCCTCCCCCTCATCTCCCCAGGCAGTCCCTGGGGTAAACACATATCCCCACTACAGCTTCACAGAAACAGAATTATACTGTGCGACTTTATTGCTGATATTCTTGTAAGTTATTTTAGTTTTTTGTGCTATTAGGAGTTGAACCCAGGACTTGCTTCATGTGAGGCCTCCACCTTGTAGATTTGTAGATTTTTCAGTCAGAAGGTTTTTTCATATGGCCCATGAACA